CAGCAGGTAATTGCGACCCAGTTCCCAGGTTACCGGATGGGAGTGATGCAGTTTTCATCGCCCCGTAGCGCTGACTGTGCCGCAGGCGAAGGGGTTTCATGAATACGCATTGGCGGTGTTTGAAGTCCGGAGGTCACGCGTCCCTTCGGGCCTCGAGGGGCTTTGCAGTGCCCCCCAGTGCCAGCTGAGACACTGAAAAGCAACCGCTCCGAATGGGATTTGAGTTGCCGTCTCTCTGTTTCATCCTGCGGCGGTAATTGCCAGTGCGGGATGTTTTGCAGCCATGGGGCCTGGCCACGGCTGTCAGATAAGCCGCTGGGCTTTGTTTAAAGAAATATATTTACCCTTTCCCCTCCTTTGGGCCATATCCTGCTCTCAGTCCATGTCATTACTCTGTATTCGGCATGGCCCTGACCCAGTGAAATGCTTAGGCACACGATAAAAAGAGCAGTTAGTAGGTACGTGCTAATGTGCCTTGGGGGATAGGGATGTAAGAGCAGGAATTCGTCCTGTTGGTTCAGCTTCTTTCATGGAGTGAAAAGCGACTTCCCTGCTTTTCTTCTAAAGCCTCCCCTGCATATTAGAGACGGGCCCAGGGCTGAACTTCAGCAGTGGTGCAGGGTGTTTGGACCAGGCTGGTGTTGATTAGCAGCCCTCTAGCAGCAGGGAGTATGAGTTGCTGCTAATCGTGGTTGGTACTTGATTCTCTGGTGCTGACACCAATGTTGCATTTTCCACTGCTCAGTCCAAAAGCTTGGATGAATCGCCTCATCCCCATTTTGCAGATGGGCAAGCTGAGGCGCGGAAGGTCTAAGCGACTCACGCAGGTTCACAAAGCAATTTAGTGGCAGAATTGGGAAGAACACCTCAAAGGCCAGGTTCTCACCCCTGTGTTTTATATGCTGGACAACCCTCCTTCCACACTGGGCAGGGTGCAAGGTGTCTGCTGAAGCTTCCTTCAGGACATTTAGCCATACAAGCCACGATTCCCGCTTTGTAACATGTATTATTGCAGCCACCCTTTCAGGAGGCAGAACTAGAGTCAGCCATTTGCAAAATGTACAAAGGCTAAGAACTAAAATACAAGGAAATTAAAGGTAGGTTGGGCGTTAGTTGACACTTTGGGTTTTTGTTGCTGCCGTTGTTGCTGTAACTTTAAAAACAGGCATTAATTTGCATAATTACATTTTGCAGCTGCTGGAGCTGCAAGTCCATAATGCAGGGTGTGCTTTGGGGCATTATTTTATGCACTGCAAACGGACCCAGAGACACTGAGCTGTGCTATCAGCTGCTTCTCCTTGTGCGGTAACTGCTGTTGCTGTGTATATATTGGTAAGCTTGGTTAGACCATCCTAAATGAGCCTAAGCTTGGGGTCACTATAATGCACATTAGCCTAGCAGACTGTGCAAGCTGTCTACGTTTCTGTCCCTGCTGGAACAGCAATTCATAGGCTTCTTTGCAAGGGCTTGTGTTTGGCTCAATCCCCTCGTCCTTGTTGCTGGAAAGGGAACTTTGGAGCAGGTGGCTGGGGGCCTCTGACAGTGGGGAGGGTGGGCGGACGCTGCTGGGGGCGTTGCGTGTATCAGGTGGCTGGGATCTGTTCTGCACGTGGAAGTAGCGACCGCCCGTTTCTTCCACTTGCCCTCCGAGCGATTGCTAGGGATTGCTCTGATTTCACAAGCCTTCTCTTTGTCTTTCCTTGCCCCGTCCCTGTCTAGGACTCCTGTGGATGCCTCTGGGTGTAGCCTGCCTTTGGTGATGCCCCAGTTCACCTTCGCTTGCTTTTGTGGACTTCATGGCTTCTGCAAGATGAAGAGGAAAAAAGACGAGCCCAGCGCAGAGCAGGAGACGTCTGTGTGAGCGGAAGGGAAACCTCGCCCTGCGTGTATCACGCTCGTCCCGGTGCCGCACCACAGGAGCCCAGCTCTGGCTTTCCCTTGGTAGGATGCTCGTACTCTTTGATTAGGTCCCTACCCTGGAGGGAAAGGGGCTTCTGCTTGCTCTTCTCTGATCTCTGTAGGCATGAGCTCCCACCCAGATGGGTCCCCAACACATCTGTGCCCCTCGCTCCCCTGCTACATTGGCGACAGAGCTATAAGTGGGAAGAAAACCGTGTACGTGCTAGGCCAGAGGACCAGCCTGTTGATCTCCTAAGGGCCAGGCTGTCAGCACTCAAAGCTGGAAGCAGTCATGGTCTACCCTAGGACAGCCTGTCTTTGTCCCCTCAAGTGCGTGGGCCACGCAAGAGGTCCCTGAATTGACACCTGCTTCTAGTTAATGGGAGTGCAGAGCTGGAGTTTTGTCTGGAAGGTGTTCGGGTGCCTAAGACCCGGTGAAGTCATAGTTTCATAGTTTCTAGGGTCGGAAGGGACCTGAGCAGATCATCTAGTCCAACCCCCTGCCATGGCAGGAAGAGCACTGGGGTCAAATGACCCCAATAAGGTGGTCATCCAACCTCCTCTTAAAAACCTCCAGGGTGGGAGCCTGCATTAGAAAGTCATTAGAAAGCAGGTGCCTAAATGCCTGTAATTAGTTGGCCCTCAGTCCTGCAGGCTATGTGGCAGCAGCTCATGCTTTTAGCATTAAGGGCCTGGGTTTAAAGTGCCCTCCTAAAGTCCTGCATGCTCCACAGGCTCCTGGACCTGAAAATAGTCCACAGCACTTGTTGGTCTCTGGCCAGGCTGCAGGCTGGCTACGTAGCTGCACTGAGCGGCACAGTGAATTAGTCCAGGTACGGTGCAGCATGAATGCGGCTCCGCGCAACATCGTGCTGTGTCCTCTCAGCAGATGCTACCGGGGCCAGCCCAGGACTGATTTCTCCAATGCAGAGTAAATGTTTCACTCCCAGGGGGTCCTTGGAGGTGCTGGGACACAGCCCTGAAAAGCAGGACAGTCACTTGCCCAGTTACACGACACCTTTTGCAGCTGAGCAGATGCAGTTTCCTCCTCTTCCCCCTGTGAAACACTCCCACCGGCTCAAGCAAGGGGAAGGCCACTCCCGGGGCGAAGCTGAGGTCTGGTTCCCGTGGTAAAGGGAAAGATGACCCGGCTCCAACCACAGTCCTCTAATCATAGCACACGGCTCTGTGGAGATGCTGCAGCCACAGCTGGGGTGGGCAAGGGGAGAGGGAGTCTGGCTCCATGCTCCCAAAGGGGCTAGCTTGTCCTGCGCCGCCCTCCTGATGGATCAGCTCAGGAAGATGTCCCAGCAGGAGGAGGTGAGCCTGGGGTGTGAGCGATGGGCTTTCTCGGGACTGTCAGGTGCAGGCTGGGGAGACGCAGGGAGAGCTGCTTCATCTGCTCTGATACGCTTATCTTGCAGCTTCTCTCATTTTCTTTCTCTTCCATCTTTGTCCCCAGAGACTCGCCTGGCGAGGAAAATGCCGAAGCTCAGACTTGACCTTACAGAAGAGACGCACGCAGGCGTTATCCTGGGCGGCGTGCTGGTTCCACGCGGCCTGAGTGCCCACGGCTGTGCCGGGAAGGGGGAACGGCTGCCCCCGTGCTGGGCTCACGAGCGCGCTGCCCTCGGCCCACTCTAGTAAGTCCTCGTGGACACTTCCTGGAGCAGACTTTAAAATCAAGGACCAAATCTTGCCCTTGGCTCCCCCCAGTGTAACTGTAGAGCAGGATTGGGCTCCTGGTTTTAAATCGCTTCTCTGCTGACAGGACAAACAAGCTGCCTTTCCCCCCCACTTTTATTTTAGAAACCCTCAAGCAAACGTCTGTGTCCATGAGCACCCGTCCCCCGCGTCTCTGGGACGTCGCATGCTCCAGCCGCCCGCGCTGAGCAGCCGTCCGGAGGTGCGAGGGCACCAGGCTCTGATTCTGCTCCCTCCAACTGTGCCAATCTGGAGTTTCTCCGATGAAATCTGTGGAGCAAGCCCGGTGTGGGACTCGCGCCCCTCCTGGGTGTATGCTCGTGGTTGTGCTGGATTTGCCCGTGGCCCTCTTTCTGTAATGGGCCAAAGCCCAAATCCCTGAATGCTGCAGGGCAGGGAGTTTGGAACCGGCCCCGGCTCCAAGCTCGGGAGCTCACGCTTGTCTCTAGCACGCGCGTGTGTTCTCCAAAGCAGCGGCTTTCGGGTTTTTCCCCTTTCCCAGCCTGGAGCCTTCTTCCAACCCGGCTGGGATCTGGATGGGGCCCTCTTCCTGTTTAGTGACATGGAAAAGGCAAGGATGGCCGTGCCCTCCTGGGGCCTGTTCCCCGTCGCCTCCAGGATCAGAGCCCCCAGGGAGAGAGCCTGTGCTCTGCCGGGATTGGTGTGGGGGGTGGTCTGGTCCAAAGCATGAAGCTTCGTTCCTGGCATGGCCTCATCCTCTCCAGGGATAGCCATTAGCTCAGCAGTGCTGCTGTGTCAAAGATTGCCCTTTTCCCCCTCCCTGCCTGTCTGGACATCCTTCCTACTTACTCTTGAAGCCATATGGAAACTCCCTGGGTGTCGTGCCTTTCAGGAAGCGTTGCAGACAGACTCCTTTCCCCGCCCCACCGAAACGAGCCCCTGTGCTAGGTGCTCCCAGAAAGCAGGACTACTCCCTCCTCCTTGAGTCAAGGCCCTTGACGTCAATGGGATCGTTCCCTTCAATCCCAGTGAGCTCTAAATCGGGCCTTTGGACCTCCTGCCGTCCGACAGTAATGCTGGAGATGGGCTTGTTCCCACCCCCACTACTCCAACCCCCTTCTGGCCCTGAAAGTCTAGATGCAGATTTCGTCACTCAGGCTCAGCACTACTTAATTCAGCATCCTTAACTCCTTGGCTGCCATCAGCAAAATGGATGGCCTGTGCAGCTGCTGGAGGTCTGGCCTCCCCTGCGTAGTGGCTCAGGGAGATTGCCCCAGCGAGGAGGGTCGCAAATCGTCTGGAGTGACAGTGGCTTTTTGCAGTCGGAGTAAAGCATGCAGAGGTGGCTGCTGCTGCTTTTGAGCATCGATGGCAGGTCCTGAGCCGAGCACGTAACAGAGAGAGCGAGAGACAGGCGGTCAGCAAGGCAGGCTGCAGGGGAAGCTGTGGGGAGAGCAGGGCTCTCAGGCAGGGGAAATACCTCGGCAGGTGAATGCTGTGACTCTGCTTGAAACACTGTTTTATCCGATAAGGAGCAACAGGCCTGTCTATGGGTGTGAAGAGCCAGGGGCCAAATTTTGCTTGCACTCAACACTGCCTTGAAGCCAGGCTAATTCCAGGGGTGTCCCTGCTGTTATCCGGGAGGCCAGCGACAAAAGCCCCTGGCCGAGGGTCTCTGGCAGACAGGCTTCACTGTTCCTGCCCAGGGAACGGGACGGGTGAAACGTCAGGACCCAGCTCCTTGGCCGGTATGAATTGGGTAGATTTGTTAACCATAGTGGAAGTGCACACTGACTCCAGCTGAGGAGCTGGCCTCCAGAAAAACAAGATGTGCAAACTCCCCAGCTCATGAAGCCCCATGACCTTTCCAGCACTTTAGCCCTGGCTACAAGGCCAGATTTGCACTTGCCAAATGGAGCTGTATATGCTGGTGACAAGCTCCCTTTTCAGGAAGAAGTGATAGCCTGGCTGGCAACCACAACAGACCTGGTAATTATTTTCTTATCTAATGGGTTTTATGTGAAATTTCTGCCCAGCAAGGACGGCCACTAAAAAGGGACACAGGAGATCTCAGGGGATGTGTGAAGCCTGGTGAGCTGCTGGGTTTTACATCATCTTAGCTGGGTGCCAGGAATCAGGGTTGCTGTACAACTGACTCACTTCAAAGGTGTAGCTCCAAGAACATCTGGAGAGAGAAAACAGCTGGGATCAGGCCATAGTGAGGGGTCAAACAGCACCTAACCTTGCAAAGTCGATCAGACTGCAAAGTTCACATGGCCAAAAGCACTTTTTCCCTGCTTGAGCCCGAGGAAGAGGTGCGAACAAGGTGCTGTTTTGTTTATGACTATAAAGCCTCAAGCAGGTCTAGCACCAAAAGTAACAGGGTAGCCCCACAGATGCTTCTTTCATAGATGTTTTCCCTCCTTAACGATCCTCGGCATGTCAGAGCCAGCTTGCAATGGTGATCATTTTGCTACATCTTGACTCTGTAGGAGCCTAGCACCAAAAACAGTGGTTTGCTTTTCATCTCATTCCAGTCGTGGGGTAACATGCATCAGTAAAGACTGAGCCTGCAACTTTCAAAGCTGCCTGGGAGAGAGAGACCCAAATCCTCTTGGCTTGGATACCTGAATCACCTAGGTGGTTTTAACAATGCTTATTATAGCCCCAATAAAGCAGAAAGGAAAACGATGCAAAAGACGAACACGTAGACTGAACGCCTGTGGAAGCCATCGTCCTAAGTGACCTTTGGCTGACGCGTGGTAGCTGCCACTAGCAATAGGAAACATGATTTTTAATGAAAACCTGCAGCCCATATTCCAGATTGGGGCACACCTGTAATTGTAATCCAAGCCAACATACAGCTAGCATGGTGGGGAGTCTCCGGGCAGGAACAAGTGTTTGGCTCCCAGGTTCGGACTCATCACCATGCATTTCCCTCCAAGTTAGCAGGGCTCATCACTGCATGATGGTAGAGCGCTGCGCGCGGTAGTTGTCCCACGGACCCCAGAGACTATACCAGCCTTCTGCCAACAGAGAAGGAGGAGCTAGTCTAAGCCAGTGCATTTGAGCGATCCCAGTGCTAGCAACCTGTGCGTGTGTGGGCACAGCCTGGCTTCATTGCAGCTGTAGTCCTCCCAGCAACAGCCGTTTCTTCCAGACGAAGGTCGCCTGACCTCAGATTCCTGGAGAACTTTTGGATTCCTTGGAGCTGAAGTCAGAGGCAGAAGTTTTGGAGGTGATCACGCTCCTTTTTCATTCTTACTCAGGGGGGGCTGGAAACTCAGGACATGAATGATTCCGTCCCAGGGCGGTGCGTTTTTAATTTTACTTAACGAAGCACCAGGTAAACACCCGAGTGTATTGTTGTGTAACCTGGCTGCCGCGAGCCTTTGATTACGGAGCTGAGACGGCTTTGTGGTTAAAGATCCAACATTGCTGCACACAGGAGGCAGGAAAGGGGCTTTATTGACTGTATCCAGCTTAGCTAGGGGGTGAGCCCCATGCTTATCAACTCATCTCCTTGACCTGGAGCTCGTGCACAGACTGGGATGCTCGCTGTAGGGGTTTCCTGTCTGTCATGGTTGGCCCAAGTTCTTGACTGGAATCTTTTTCTTCTTCTGCTCAAGTCTTTCCACCACATTGGACCATTGTGTTACACACGCTTGTGCTCGTTCATTGTACGTGTGCCTTCAAGCAGCAGGTGTTGCGTAGTCTGCTCTGTGCCACAGTCACAGGTGCTTGAGCCAACAGCGTAGCCCCACTTCTTCAGTAGTTCGCTGGACTGTCTGCCTCCGATACGTAGGCGGTCAAGACATCGCCACCTTTGCCGTGGTTCATCAGCCCCTGGTGGGTACGCCTTGGCTGGTGCAATGTACATTTTTCACTGGAATATGGAGGGGGAATTTATCAGGATAATCTGGTAAAACTATTCAATGGATATTCCTTTCTCCAGTGAGCAACTCCTAGCTAGATACTGATATATGTCAAACATATAGTACCAGGCAGGCACTTTCCACCCTGCCATATATCTTTATTTGTGTGTGTGTGTGTGTGTGAGTGTGTATGAACTGAAAATGCAATAAATTACCCAAGTACAGTCTGAATGGGTACAAGTTCAAGCTGCAGTTATTTTTAAAGAGAACGGTCCCCATATGGGGAGAGCTAGATCGTGAAGTGCTAATACGTTCTCCATGGTGGCTCTGAGCAAAATGATTTGCTCCCGCGTTGACCTCTGTTGTGCTCATAAATGGCTCGTGGTGCTTTTTGATTCTCCCGTCGTAATGACTTGACCTCCAGATTTATGGCTGAAGGTTCCTTCATCTCCACATCATTTCCCAGCAGACTCCAGCCTGGCGCTTTTCTGTAGCAAACTTGTCAACAGTCTGATTTGCCAGGCAGTTTGCTCTTTGCTAACCGTCCGGGCTGAAAGTGGGTGCTGCCAACTATCTTCCACTTGACAAATTTGCAGTGGGCAAGAAGTTAGATTTTTTTTTCCAGTGGCGCCATTTTAATAGGGCACCGTATGCTTCCAAAACTGTGAAGGCTGGAAAGCTGACAGCTCTTGTCAAAGTACAAATGCTCGCTCCCTCTCTCCCACACACTTGCCCAACCCCTGGCATTTTTTATCAGAACGGGATTTGTTTCCTTGTCCAGAATTCCCTCTACCTCCAAACCTGAGCTGCCTCCTGCTTGATTACGGGCTTCCCCCCTTCCTACCCCAGAGCTGGCTGCATTTCAGTGGTGCTCCAGAAATACGAGTCTTATGAAGAATGAGTAATGATGATAAGAAATTTATAGAGCTGCTCCTCTATAGACATGAAAGAAAAGGTATATACCTCTGTCTTGGGCGAGCTGAAAACTCATCTTAAGCTATCCCCAACTATGTGATGGGTTGCTTTACAAAGGAAGGGCAGCATCATTACTGTTGTTTCACAGAGAGGAAACTGAGGCATGGAGCAGGTAAACAACCTATTCAAAACCACCCCAGTATTTAGGGACAGAGGCAGTAAAAAATTGAGGCATCTTGACCATCAGCTGTCTTGGTGAAGTTCTTATGTAGCTTTAGGGGTGTATCTGATTTCTTTGTCTGTATTGCACAGTTGCTTCAATAGGCATCCTAGCCACCCTGGACCTTCTCCCTAAATTGCCCCTTACCCGCAGTGTAACTTCCCAGCACAGCTTCCGACAGAGGCGCGATGCTCACTGCCATCATTGTTCTTCAAGAAAATGAATATTATGCGCCTGAAAGATGCATTTGTTCCCACCAGAAATAATCCACCCTTAATCCTATTACAGTGAAGGAAACCATCCAAGTTCCTCTAAATGAGAATGGAGGGATATATTCGAAACCAGACAAATCTGCTCATCTCGGCGAGGTAGCAAGCAGCGATGTGAAACCCCACGACTGCGCTCCCTACTGATTGTCTAACGCTCTTGCCTGGAAACAGCTTTTCCAGATGAGCCTGTTCAGGACCTATGAACTTTCCAGAGTGATGTGCTCATGGATGTTTTCTACCACTTTCCCCCCCCACCACTAAATTTTACCTAAGCAGTTGGCAGAGCCCCTTCAAGCCCAAGGGCTGGATGCTTAGGTGGTGCAAACTGCTGTTGTTTTAATGACACCATTTTGATGGAGCTATGGATGTGCTTGGTTGAAATGAAAAAGAAACCAAGATTGCCTGATCCTAATTGCTCCAGGCTGGAGTGATGCCAGTGGTGCAGGTAGGGGGAAACGGCTTTAATGATCAAAATAACCAGAGCATTGCCTCCGGCTAACTTCCAAGACAGGCAGTGTATTCCCGTTGTAAATACTGGCTGACTTTGGAGCCGAGGAGACTACAGATGTTTATTTGCATGATAATAAGTGGGTAGGAGACCAAAAAGTATGTGTGTGCGTGCGTGTGTGGGTGTGTGGATGCATGTGTGTGTGCTGTGAGTGAGAGAGAGGGTTTGGGGCTGGGGAGGGGGTTATCCCAAGATGTTTTTCATCGGCAGACAAGCTCTCGACAGAGGTGGTCTTGCCAAGGGAACTTTCACTGCACTGATTTAAGATGAAGAAAATGTTTGTGCAGCGAGCTGGAAGGGTACAGAATATGCACAAATTGTAGGAGGGAAGCCAAGAAAA